ACCCCAACCACCACCCGGGGCGCCCGGTAGGGGATCGGGAGGCCTGACGGCGCCCCTCGTTCCGAAGTCCCCGACCCTAGGTGTCTGATGTCCTGAAAGCCCCACTTAGGAGTTTCTCGTTGGGGGAACCCCGCGTCTGTCGGAGGAGAATATGTCACATTTCAGAGCTGGGGTGGTGGTGGGGACGCAAACTCAGCTTCCAGACCTGCATCCGCAGACCTGCGGGGTACAGTTGGAAACCGTTCCCGAGCTCCAGGCCTTTATTTTCCCATTTCTGGGAGGACTTTGGCTCCCTTATTTAGGGTTGTGGGGTATTGTGCTTAGAAACTCCGGAGAACCTAAGTTTGGGAGTGTACACCCAGGGTCGCCACTGGGAGGAGCCTGCGATCGGAAATTCAATTTAAAAAAAAATCTTTCCTGGCTTGTTGATGGTTTTAAGGAGGATAGGCTGGGCGTCTCCTGGGTTCGATGCCACCCTTGGCGGGGGGGGGGGGGGGGGAAGCCGTGGTGGGGGCTCAGTGGCGATCAAGTCCTTTGGGGCAAAGCGCCCGACGGCTGCCAGTAATGTTCGGGTCAGGGTACTGTCCAGCAGCCTTGGCAGCCTGTAGGAAGCCATAGCTTGACAGCGCATTTCCAAGTCGGTGAAAACTGGATTATCTTAAGGTCTGGTTCCTCTGAAATGTGGCTCAGTGGCTGGCCAAAGGTGCCCCTACTGTTATTTATTATTTGGGATTTGTCAAGGCTAATCTAATATACATCCAATGAGAAATCTTTCATGAGACTTCTCTTTCTTTCCCCTTCTTTCTTTCTTTCTTTTTTTTGTCATTTGTGGGGTCTGGGCGTGGTCCCTGAGCCTCTTTATGCTCAAGGCTAAATTTCTACCACTTGAGTGGTTTATTGGAGATGATAGACTCTGGGGAACTGTCCTGCCTAGGCTGGCTTTGAGTCACTATCCTCAGATCTCAGCCTCCTGAGTAGTTTAGGATTACAGGTGTGATCCACTGTTGCCCAGCTTTATGAGTTTTTCTTTAATGAGTCTACCCATGCTTCTTTATGTGTGGTGTATTGGTGTGATTCTTCAGGAGGATGGGAGGAGGACATGGAACTCGAGGGGAAAAGGGTGAAAAATATAGGGTGGAGCTCACTGGATACTGGTAAAGGGAACTATAGAACTCGTGAGTGGAGACGGAAGGAAGGGACTGGGAGAGAGTGAGGGAAGGGGAAGACACTGTATGAAAGGAAATGGACTTGAGTAATTGTAATCCCTCTTTGCATCACCTTTATTTTTTATTTTATTGATTTATTTTCGACATTGGGGGGCTTGAACTCTGGGCCTGGGCACTGTCCCTGAGCTCTTGAGTTCAAGGCTAGGCTCTACCACTTGAGCCACAGCGTCACTTCTGGTTTTCTGGTGATTAATTGGAGATAAGAGTCTCATGGACTTTCCTGCTTAAGCTGGCTTTGAACTGTGATCCTCAGATCTCAGCTTCCTGAGTAGCTAGGATTACAGACATGAGCCACCGGCACCCAGTTTACATCACCTTTAAAATAACAATAAAGTAAACTAAAAAAAGAATCTACCTATGATGGTAATTAGAGGTGGATTTTAATCACTAAACCAAAAATGGTGTTAATGCTGGAGAGCCTGTAGACATAATCTTGTAGAGTTATGGTCTTCCCTATTAGTTTACAGTCTTACCCTGGTGGTCTTTAGTTCCTTCTGGCAGTCAATATGGAAAATGTTACTTTTTTAAATTAAATTATTTGGGGGGTCCTGTTGTGGGGCCTGTACTCTGGGTCTGGGTGCTGTCCCTCAGCTCTTCAGCTCAAGGCTAGCGCTCTACCACTTGAGCCACAGCGCCACTTCCAGCTTTTTTCTTTTTGCTTATGTGGTGCTGAGGAATCGAACCCAGAGCTTCAGGCATGCAAGGTAAGCGCTCTACCACTGAGCCACCTTCCCAGCCCCTTAAATTAATTTTTTAATGGGTCTCTGTTACCAATGCTAGTGCTTTTTAAAAAAAATAATATATATATATTTAATTGTGAAAATAGGGGTTACAATTACATGGGCAAGATAATGAGTACATTTCTTATCAAGCATTGTTGCCTCCTCCTTTGTTTCCCCTTCCCATCCCTTCCCATCTCCTCCCTCCCCAACCCCTTCCCTCCCCCCCAATTGTTTGTTTTGAGATAGGGTCTCAACTGTATAGCCCGGGCTGTCCTTGGTCTCACAGTCCTGCCTTGATAACAGGCATGTGCTCCATGTCCTGCTGCCTATGCTGGTCTTCATTGTTTAGATAGCTCAGGCTGGCCCTCGAGCTCGTAGTCCTCCTGCTTCAGCCTCCCTTGTGCTGGCCGGGATTGCAGTTAAGTATCCCTCAGACCCATTGCCCAGCCTGGTCTGTAACTTCTGGGCTCAAGCCATCCTTCAGTTTTAGCATCTCCAGTTTGGGTGTCCAGGTACCCCACGCTTGCCTAGCTGCATACGCACATTTACTATGTCACTGTAGATGCTATATTGTCTTGTTTGGGAAGTTAGGGGTGTAAGCCATCATTTAATAGAGTGGCTCCAAACAATTCACAGGAAATCTTGGCGCTTCCGCATCATGATATTAAGCCAAGGACTCAATGAATGGTGGAAAAAACCCTATGTAAATATTTTTATTTATTTATTCCCAGTCCTGGAGCTCGAATTCAAGGCCTGGGCACTGTCCCTAGGCTTCTCTTTTGCTCAAGTCTAGCACACTACCACTTGAGCCACAGCACCACTTCCTGGTTTTTCTGTGTATGTGATACTGAAGACTCTAACATAGGGCTTCATGCATGGTAGGCAAGCACTCTACCACTAAGCCACATTCCAAGCCCCCATGTAAATATCTTGACCAAGTGGAACCTAACTGTTGGTATTAATTATAATTACCTTTTTATGTTTCATGTTCCATGTTTCATACAATCCTTAACTCCATCAACAGGCTTCTTGCAAATAGCTCTTCTCAGTTTAGGGATTGAGGCCCAGAACACTGCATGGCCCATAGTGAATCCCACCTGGGGTTGTAGATTCCCACTGGGCTTTGTAATTAGATCTTCTTCAAAGTTGACTTTGGCCATGTGTGTTTAGATAATGGAGAGGTGGTTGGAAATTAGTTTTGCTAGCCTGGTTAGAAGAGCCTCAGCCTTCCTTCCATCCTTCTAGACCAAGTATGAACACCTCTGTTTTGTTTGGTGGTGGTTGATTTTACTTCTTCAGGAAAAGTATTGCATTACCATGCTAATCACTACCTCCCCACAACAAAACTAACTCTGTTTAGTTCTAAATAAGAACAAAAGAACATTTAGGGACTGGAGTCTTGGACCAGGAAAGTCAGGAAATTAAGCTAAGGCTTCAGCTCCCCTTCTGTAGGTATGGAGCCCATGAGGCAGGTAGAACCCTTGGCCCTCCCTTCCCCGTGAATGAGGCTGTGATGCCCTGCAAAGCTCACTCCGCAACTGCTGGAGAAAAAGCTTGCTCCTCACAGCTGCCTGACTCTCCCTTTTCAAGCCCTTTCACTTAGGATCATTTGCATGAGAACAGATTCCTTTGTGCAGAGTTGGCCTGCCTGTTCTCCGTCCACGCTTCCAGTCCCCCAAGTCTTTGGGTTGGGTTGCTAGGCAGATATGACCCAGGCTTGCAAATCAGCTCACTGCATTTCCCAGTCTGTGAGAACTTCAACTTGGTAAGCAGATTGAAAGGCTTGTGGTGCGAAGCTGGGAGCGGCGTGTCCCGTGCCCAAGCCTGCTTGAGTGGCTTCTGGGTCTTTAGGGCTTATACAGAGGAAGGGGAGTGTGTGTGTGTGTGTGTGTGTGTGTGTGTGTGCAGGGGGGGGGTCTGCTCAACCAATTACCTCTTCCTCTCTCTGCCCCCCCTCCCTCTCCATTCAAGGGCCTACATTTTGAATGATT